CACTGAGAACAGCATCAGGGCTTCCTGGAAAGCCCTCCTCTCTTACTGATTTGCCATCATTTTTTAATGCAAGTTTTGAGCTTTGTTTGGAGTCTAATTAAGGCCTTAATCAGTTTAAATGATGAAAAACTTTCCCAACACCAGCATATCAAACATGCAGAAGTGACAGTTCTGCTCCTGTCAAAGCAAGCCTGACTCGTCTTTGCTCGTGTGAGGGCACCGTGCTGAGTAAAAAGGAAAAATCACATTCTTCATCAGCACTTCACAGAGAAATTTAAGTTGTCAGTTCCTCCCCGGGAAATCCTGATGCAACACCCAAACCGTCCCTGTGAACTGGGGCTTGGTGAATGTTTAATTACACCTAGGAACAAACACACGTTGCTGCGTGAGGGCTGCGAGGAGCCATCCGAGCTGCATGCTAAGCTTCTCTGTCCCAGAAGCAGTTTCTTCAATAGCATTTGCTTATCAAAAATAATTAGAGGTAGGAATGCTGGAACTGTGATTATGAAACAAATGGTAAATCTATTTGCTCAGACAAAATGTATCGAAAGATACATCTAGACACAGCTGGAGACTGAGGTGATACTGCAAGGATAACAACTCGAGATCCAATTTCATCTTTCATGATTAAAAAATGAGCAAGAAAGTGTTTTATGAAATGTGAAGGTTAACAAATGTTCTTTCACAAGCAATGACGACAGTTTATCTTTTGAAACAAATGATCAGGCTATGGTCTGCTAGCAGCTCCTGAAATGCACTTGAAAGATTTCTTCTAAAAACCCCCTGAGGACAAGGGCACGCGGCTGGCAGCCCACCGCGCTGCCAACACCTCGGACAACGACGGCTCCAAAGCAAGGCTGACACAGCGGGGCAGGAGCCAGCTGTGCTCTTCTCCCAGTGCTCTGCCCCACGCCAATGACAGAATTCCCAAAGCCCATCCCTGTTCCCAGTCCCTGCAGTGGCCGCGGACCAACAACACCATGCCCACAAGAGGGGTGGCACAAGCAGGGTCCCAGACCTGCAAATTAACAACCACTTTGGTTGAACTTCTAAGCTGCCCAAACTATTGCAGGAGCCCCTTCTGTCTGTAGGCAAGCACCTATACATGGCTGCCTCCACAGCGATGGGGCAAGCGGGAGCCTGGTGCTGGGCGGTACTGGCTGGATCCTTGCAGCACGGGCAGGAACAGGCCTGCTGCAGCCTTGTGGATGGAGACTGAGCAAGGGGAAAGGAAAGCACTTCTCACCAGGTAACGAAGCACGCATTCCTAAACGACACAATCAGCTCACAGGCAAATTCAAAGAAACATGGGTCTATAAAGAGATTATGAAACACCATTTTTTTTCTCCTGGTCATTACACAACAATATTCCTTTTGGACTTCAGATACAGAAGATGCAAATAGTTACATTTATGGGTACAGAATCAGTCTAGCTTTTAATTTTTCACATGATGGTTGACCTACTAAATATCAGTGCAATATTCATCCTGTTCTTATTCAAAGGTTTATAGAGGAAATGGCCAGCAATAAATTCCTTTGACTGTCCCTCCAGATGAAGTACTCCCTTTACGGTGCAAGCAGTGTGAAGTATGAACACTTATTTTTAGGAACAAATTCTGCTAAAATTTGACTAGTAGAACAAACACCATGTGTTGTTTAATGAGGGAAAAAAAAAGATGTGGATAGAGGCTCTGAAACTATTGAAGTGAAGGAATTATATAATGATGGGAATGGGTAATTCTCCAAGAAGAAAAATTCAAGTTACCAGGAGTGAACTGACAGTAGAGAAGATGGTGATGGCAACTTTAGTTCCTTCTATTAATAGAGCTAATAGTTAAAACTGAGAGAGAAAGAAATATTATGTGTAGAAGGTAACAGAAGATGTTTTAAAGTAAAAAAACTGCTTTATACTTCCACAAAATATGGGACTGCAGAGCAATGCCCTTATTCTTATCCTAGGACCCTGAAAGGGTTCCTTAGCATCAGAACAGAACCCAGGAGTTCAGCAGAACCCACCCCCCCCCAAAAAAAAAAAAACAGTATAAACTTAAATTTATTTATTAGCAAGAACACAAAACATCATAGCTGTAAAGCTGGCTAAACAGCTGAATGCTAGTTAACAAACGTGTTACAGAATTCATGTTAGTCCTTCCTACCTGAGTCTTGGTCTAATTTCCTGGGATATGACAATTATATTGTTCTTCCCAACAAAAATTCAAGTAAGAAATATTTCTAGTGGTCAAAGCTGCTATAACAGCCTAAATTCAGATGGGGAAAATTATTTGAAAGAAAGGCCACATAAGCCTTCCCTCCACAATTTAACCATGCTGCACAAATAGCAACAGACTCCTGCCTTGGTGGGCTGCAGATTATTCTAACTCAACAAATGGAGCATAGGGGCTACAAGAGCCTTTTTGGGCACAGGACAAGTTTGTTCCAGAGACCATGCTTCCCTGCTGCTGTGACAGAAGCTGCATGGGCATGGTCAAACACAAGCCCCAACTGTTGCCTTCCATGTTTCATGTCATGAACTGCCCTCTCTTCTCACAGATGGGATGTGGGCTGTTTCCCAGGGTCTGCAACTCCTGGCTTCTTTCCCATCTCTAGCACAGGCTTCTGGTGTGCCCTAGAACGTTGTGCCATCTGGGGGCCAGCGAGAAGATGACAGATTAAGCTTTTCCACCCCAAAGCAGCATCCTCAGGATAAACCAAGGAAAGAATGAAATGCTCTACAACTGCAGTGATAAAAATGTTCTTCTAAGTTTAAGAGCACCAATATTGCTCTCCTTTGGCACTTTAACGTGTCTGATTTGATGCCGCACATTATTTTTGTTATGAAACTAGAACAAACCAAAATCAATACGGTGCTCGTTAAATGGACAAAACATGGAGTAGCTCATAGGTCTCAAAAAGCAAATGTAAATGGGAATCATTGTCCAGCTGAGTATTTCTAGTAGGGTTCTGTAACATGCAGAATAATGCTGAATATCTATCTATCAGGTCAGGTTAAAAAAAACAACCAAACACACACAACACTGTTTATCAACTGCACAAATGTCAAAGGCTAGAGAAGAGATAAATAATGAAAAGCAGGATGACTGATGGAGAGACCTGGATCGCTTGGCAAGCTGGGTGCAAACAAGATAAAGAAAAGATAAGCAAGATAAAGAAACACTCCAGAAACTAATGCAAGCTTATGCTTTCTGGAAGGAAGACTATTCCTGGAAGAAGCTCTCCTGAGAGGTTTTGGTGGTCTTTGTGATTAGTACCTAGCATGACCCAATTGTGATACTATGATGAAAAGAAATTATGCAATCCTCAACAAGTGAAGACCAAAGGCTGTTACATTCTTCACAGACACATCAGAATTATGTCCACAGCACACAAAGAGTACAGCTGAACGGAAGGAGGGTCAGTGAAAAACCAAAATGCTAATTTGGGGTTGGAAATCTGTGTGTGAAAGAACCTCCTGGAGCTCAGTTTTTTCAGCTTAGCACAGATAGGGTTAAGGATACTCCCAGAGCAAGTGAGTTGTGGATTAGTAAATACTCAGACTTAAGCAAGGTACAAAAATCATTTCATGATAGTGAAGACAGTTAACTCTTTCCTCATCGCACCCTTTCCACCTTTCCAAAGGCTGCTTATCCTGTCTTTCCCCCTTCAGATGTGTTCCACCTGTACCCAAGCTCCTCCTCACTTACGTTTTGGGGACACATCCCACCTAACTCGGTGTGGTCCTGCGACTACTGCCTGTATGGCAGAATTTCAGGTGAGATATTTTGTGTGCGCCCTGGAGAGTTTCAGCTCAAGTAGGAACAAAAATTCCTTATGTAGGCAGGATGGTCTTGTACGCTGCCTGGCTGAAAGGCAAGGTGGCAGCTCCCATATGGCAGCTAATAGACTTATTTCTTCTGTTTGGCTCAGTGCTCTCACCTTTAGGAGGAGAAACTTGTTTGTTCAAGTTTATTAAGAAAATATTTATTAAAGATTTTCAGGAATATGTTTTACATTGAAACACATCAAGCATCTGATCATTGAGACTAATCTAGCCAGCCTCTGGACACCACAAGGTTAGACGGCATTTTACCTCCCTATCTTAAAAAAGTGTGTTGGTTTTGTTTTGCTTCAGATGTGTTTGCTGGTTGAGGTTGCACAAGAAATGCTACCAGTGCTTTAGGGAAAAAAACCAACCAAACAAACAAACCACAACACAAAAAACCCCACACACATTAGCTGGAGATCAAGTACATTCTTCCAAAGGAAAAACAAAGCAAAACTCGGAGTGTTTTGCAGTGTGACCCTCATAAGAATGTTTGCATTAGGCCTGCTGTCTTATTAAAACTAATTTCTGTTTATATAAAAGTATTTTGTACAAAACTGCCATACACACCAGGCAAAAAATCCCATGTGTTGTTACGTATTGCAGACACACACTGACAGGGTAGTTCTAACTCAGAGTTAGGGATGGTCTCTGCAGGCTTCCTCATGAAGAAAAAATTTTTGAAGTTGATCTGTAATTTTGGAGTGTTTTGCTCTGTTTACTTAGGGAAGAGACAAGAGCCCTTTGGGAGGAACCTTACTCAATATAGGCACTAGCAGTCTATCTAAAAGCTATCACCGAAGAAGAAAAGGTAAGGGTTTGGTCAGGTCTCAGTCAATATGCAGGAGTATAACATCACAGATATGCAAGAAAAATTAACAGTCATTTTCTAATTTTCTCAGCAAGCACTGCTTGTTCTTCTTGGTTCATAATAATGACAAGTTAAGTCATGCCCTCCTCCTTCTACCTTGACCTAAAAAATAGGATTCCACCTCCCTGACTATAAAATACTTTAAGTGCAAATAAAAAGCCATGCTTAGAGGAAGAACCTCCAACCTCTTCTGGGCAGGGCTGACCATGCACAAGTACATGTTTTCATAGCAGAGGTTTAGAAAGACAAAACAGCTGGCAGCACACTGAGAGGCTCTGGGAAGAGCCCACAGTATGTTCCTCTATTTACCTCAGGTAATCTCTGCGGCAAAGAATGAGATTTGCTTTTGTGTAAAGAGTGGATCCAACCTCTCCAAGACGACAGTCACAGCAGGCACACTTTAGACAGTCTTCATGCCAATACTTATCCAGAGCCTTCAGCAGGTACCGGTCCTTGATCTTCCGGTTGCAGCCAGCACAGCCCTTCTGCTTCCCTTTGGGTTGTACAGATAACATCGGCACACCTGCAATGCAAACAAAGCATTTCGTTTAGAAGATATCCAAACAGCTTGACTAAGTTGCCTGCATTTGGGATAGCACTGTGAGCTATAGGTAGATCTGTGAGCAAATACTGCTGCTGGTTTCATTACAAGAGTCCACGTTGCAGCAAGCTGATAGTCAAAGGAATTTAAACTTCATTTGCTGCCATGGGTTAAGTGGGAGTGTGACGCTTGCAGGAACGCAGCCCTTTTTTCCTAAGGGTAGGCTGACACAAAGCACCGGACTTTTTTTAATTAACATCTTGCAGCAGAATAAACTGGCTACAATTTCAACATTTGCTTTTTCCCTCATTACCTGTACCCTTGTGTTGTTAATTACCTGCCACAGGCAATTACGAAGATCCGAAGGGCCACCACTGTACGTACCACCAGTTCAACACCTTGGCTGGATCAAGCTTGATGGGGAAAGGAGAGGAGTGGGTATAAAAAGAAGTGGTATGCCACTGTGTTTCCTCTCTTGTGAACCCCACTGGTCACAGAGGCCTCAGTGAAAGCTAGAGCAGCCCAGGGGCTGCTCTAAAATAAATGTTACTCAAAAGCCCTTGAAGACTCCTGAGAACAACCCTACCACGGCAGAGCTTTCCTTCTCCTCTTGTACCGCTGGAGAAGGTAGTAAAAAGCCAGGAGTTTTTTCCTCCCTGGAAACCCCTGCTGGGACTGCAACACAGTCTGACCTAGCTGGGTATGAGGTAGTGATGGGACACCCAAGTCACTAGGCTGGTGGAAACAGCTGTGGCCACCTTCCTCTCACTGCTGTCTCCAGCTTTTTCCTCTCCTCCAAGCAGCTGGTGCCTCCCACAGTCAGCACGGACACCAGTGTGAGACCTGTCACCCTCCTCAGGTTAAGAGGGAGGCAGGAGAGGATTTTATGGAACCAACAGGCAAGGCGGAAAAATAAGCAAAGATTGTACTGCGGAGGAGGAAGAGGACAGGAGATGATGAAAGAAGAAATGAACTCACTGAGACGTCGGAATCTCATTTTCTCTAGAGCCTTGATTTTACTTTGTTACTGATTTTTATTAGTGTCAACCACTAAAAATGACAATGCTGGGCCTGTAACAAGCATGACTTGGGCTTAACCAACGCAGAGAAGATGAGAGGGGACACTCTGGCTACAGTAGCAGGTGTAACTGGTTATATACCCTTACACAAAGTTAAGCCACCATTTCTGTAGGAAGTGCCGGGTGTCCCAGAAAGTAGCAGCTCGATAATGGAATTATTAACAGTCCCTTAACCGAGGAGGACTGAGTCAGTGCCACTGTAATAAGTGACATTCGCTGCTTTCCTTAAAAGCCATGGTGACCTGACAGCGGCTAATGGTCAGCACACGTAAAACCCACCACTCCTACAGTAAAAATTGCTTTGTCAGACCTGCAAGCAGACGACAATAGCACTTAAGACACCTCTACACAAACAGCGAGGTATTGATCCATTTGTTATCAAAGTGGTCTCAGCAGCACGGAGACAGGTCAAGTAACATTCAAAAACTCTTCAGGCTTAAAAAGCCCTCTTGCTCTTTGCTGCAGCACACTCGAAAGCCGCTTGCAAAGTCAATACAAGCAAACTTTTGATGCCCGTGACAAATATGCAATAATTAAGTGAAAACTTAGATCTGTGTTTGAGTGCCACATACGCAACCCATAACGCTCCTGAGAGAAATTCTATGTACATAGGCACAGAGAAACACCCGCATGTTTGGAAAGAGGGAAAAGACAGAAGTGTCCGAAGTGTAATACACTGCAGGTGCTGGAGGTCAGACTGGAGAAGCCCGGTGCTCCTGGTGAGAGTTTCTTAGGAGAACAAGGGAAGTGACCCCATGGTTCTGGACACAGCACTTCTTTTTGCAGAGTACATTTCAGGAGCAAAGAGAAGCTTCACTTTTTGAGTAATTTCTTTTTCAGAAAACTTAAAGCCTTCATCCTATGTTCTCTCTAACTCCACACCAGGAAAACAGCACATCATGAGAAGAGACTGCCTCATTCTGAGACACAGAAGAGTGCATACGTGAATTTGCATTTGCAAACTGTGTAAGATCAGTACCAGTGATGAAAGAAAATAGTTCGTACCTATGAAAACTAATACCTAGATGTGTAAATTGTATTTTAAGATACGAGTGACACCACTGAGTCATTAACCACCCCCCAGACAGGCTCTCTAAACGTGAGCTGCATACCCTGAGAGGCAGAAGAGGATTTCTTAAAAGGAGGGGTCATCATACTGTTCTTTTGCAAGGTTCATCTAGGTAACTTGAGCATCCTGCGTCTGGAGGTGCCACAGATTTCAAAAGGCAGATTCTAGTTAACCAGAGCCCCTTAAACACCCTCGTAAGGGAACTGTTGCAAGGGAGCGGTTTGAGATCATGTCTGCCATTCAGAAACACAAGATCTTCAGCCAGATGGGACTTCCCGAGGCCCTTGCGCGCTTTTGAAACCAGTGCCCTTTCAGAGTTACAGCTGCCCTCACCCAGAGCGAGGGGTCCACTGTAACAGCAGCATGGCCAAGCACATGGGCAGTTGCGCAGGGATGAAACTCTGGCTGGACCATTAGGAGAGGGTGGTTTGATCAGAAAGGGCAGGCTGGCAGGTTAGGAGGGTCTCCTGAGGCAGCAAGCAGGCCCGGACGGCTGTGGGCCGGCTGTAACAGCGGTTCTTGTTCCATCTGTGGCTCTGGCAGCCCTCACTCATCTCAGTTCCCCACTGCTGCAAGCACACCATTGTCTTATGAGAGGCTTCTGTGAATAAGGGGAATGTAACACTGATTTTTTTTTCTACTAACTAGCAAAGGAACAGATTTTTTATTTTTTTTTTAAACAGTACCTTAAACA